GTTGGTACGATACGCTCCGGAGCGGATACTACCCAGAGAGACGGATACCATCCGAAGACTTAGCGTCAGAGGCAACCAAAGAATAAAATGGGAAACATTATCTTGGGCAGATACAAGAGCAAAACTTGCTAACATCGCACGACGTTTTGAACAGATCCCAGTGGCGACTGCTGATGTAGAACCCTGAGTTGGAAAATCTTTAGGAGCGGCTGACTCAGGGCTGCCGCGGAATGCTGCGATTTAAAACTGATTGGCCTGCTGTTTGAGGATCAGAAATTTCCATGTAGACGTCAGAGGTTAAAGTGGCTGCCAGTGAGAATAAGCCTTCACTAAAGATCGAGCTTGGAAACAAACAGCACTCAACGCGAAAGCGATACGAAAAAGCGCGCAAAGCGGCAGAGAAAGCCGTGGCCAAAGCTAAAACCAGTTCTTAGGAAAGGTGAGATGGTTGAGTCCAATTTCTAGAAGGCATGGATTCTGGCAGACTATCCGCCGCCTTCGAGGTGAAAGGAAATACAATCTGGACTCTGAGATCTAAAAGTCGTAAAGTACAAGTCTGGACGCCCTCTTACCGAGGAAGGACATAGTTTAGCGATGCAGAGAGTACTGTGAGAAATTCCTTAACACCGAACAACTGCAGGATGACTCGACTGAGTCTTGAAGAACAGTTGGTAATGAATATTAGCCTTTCAGTACAGGAGGTCACAAAAGATGTAAAAAGCTTAAAAAATGGCAAAACAGATGGAATCCATTAAATTAATAGAGAAGTTGAAGCCTTAGGTGAAAAGGGCCTGTTCTGGCCAACATGCCTGTAAATCATGAAATGACTATGAGAAAGACACCAATGACAGCAGCGCCCCTGCTCAAGAAAGGGATCAGAAGGAGACCACAGAGAGTGCTCCAATTATCGGGGAATTACTTAATTGAGACAACCGGGAAAAGTGCATGCAAAGGCAATGGAAAAGAGCTGCTGAGGAGCAGACGACTCCAAGATCTAAGAAGAGCGGTGGAGCTTCAGGTCAGACAGAAGCATCTCTGACTGTATCCTCGCCACGCGCAAGATAGTCCAGAAACCTTGGAAACTCCCTCATCCGTCCGTGAACCTGGAAAAAGGCATATGACCGTATCTCAAGCCAGAAGCTGACATTCCTTGAGGTTGTGTTTAATGGTTACGGAAAATGAAAAGGCTGATTACAATAGGATGCTGCGTACTATTGTGACTAAGGCAGAGCCATGTGTTCGATTTTCGTCCCCATGCTCACCTGTGGTCATGGTCATGAAAGAAAGGAAAGTCTGTAACCCGCTGGAATGGCGGTCTTCTATATACTTTCAC